TGCTTTTTCTTCACTACTTCTACACAAATTTCCTTTTAATTTGCAGTGACAACTTCGTTCAGTCGTCACTCAAGTGAAAAGTTGATTGTCACTTGATACCTTCTAAGGATGGAAATGAAAAAATCTTTGTTTTTTTTGTCGGTATCATAGTCTTGCTGTCGCCTCTGTCGTTGTAAGCATTACCGACATCATAATCAGTACTTCCACCATTGTCATCGTCACTTGCGTCATCATTATCACCACCAGTAATCATCGCAATTATCACTGCTGTTACTTCTATATTTTATCACTGCTGGTAAGGGGTGCTACTATATTTATTATTATTTTTGCTTTCATATTCTATTTTATACTTTTCTTTAAATTATTTCAAATATTTTTTTGGTATCACTCTAATGTCATTATTTATCGCGCTGTTTTAAATATTATATTGTTCATAAGATCATATTGTTGATATTAACAATAACGGTACCGTTTCTATATATAATATCTGTGTTTTGATCCTCAGCTTCTTGCTGCTACTACTTATGGTACATTATTACTTTTACTATTACTGCTGTTATTATCAGTATTGTTATTAGCACACTAATATCAATATTATTTATAGAACTATTATAGTTTTAATAAAAAAATTTGTTCATTTCTGTATTCTTAGCAGTACTGGCATAACCACAGAACAGTGTCGTTCATCATATGGTGAATTAAATTTTACCTGGGAGTAACAGATTATGATATTTCGATTTCTGAGGGTTAAAGTAGAATTTTTAACTATTGTATTCTTTGTTCTTTACCTCTCTCGTCGTCGAAATGCTTACCTAAAATTTTGCGGCGAAAAACGGCATTAGCTCTTGACATGTTAAATTTGTTGCATAAATATATCTGATATTTACTCAAAAGCTTTCTTTTTTGAAACTCCTTTGCAGCCATTTTATACATCAACACTCAAAAGGCTGTTTAAAAGTGAAAGAAGTTTTTTGTTATTGATTCTCACAAAACACTGGTTGGAGATGGCATTGGATACTCTTTTCTGCTGTTGGTAGTAAATTCGATGGCGTTCACGTTAATTTTTTTAATGAGAGGAGGCAAAAAGAAGTTGCATGTGTTATGGTTATCAAGATGTATTGACATTTTTTGATTACAGCCAATTTGCTATGTCTTTAACTGTGTGGTCACGGGTACCGTCTGGCTAATGGTTTTGGGCCATTCGCTGTAGTTTCAGTAATAAGTAACTTGCCCCTATTAGTTTTTATTTTTCTTATACACTTTTCTTTGTATCACCGGAATTCAAATAGGTTTTTCTATGTTAACTTCAACTGGCTGTAAATTTTTACTTTTCGGTTATTTGCTGAATCATCAATTTCAGAGGTTGAAACCTATATATGAAAAGTGTCGCTACATCCCTTCTGACGCCGCCAAATTTACTGACATTTAAATTTTCTAAAATAGTAACAAATTTTTTGGATTTTCAGGTCTTTTCTGCAAATTTTTCACAATAATTTTCTACGGTAATGCTCACAATTATCCCAAGTCTTCTTTGTTCAAATTCAGTGCAGTACGTTTTCGTTAAGTTTAATATGTGCTTAATTTAATTCAATAACTTTTTTTAAATTAATTTCGCTCAGCTGAGTATTCTCGGAGCTACATGATAAGGGTCACAAGAATTCCTGCAAAGGGTTGCGGTGATTTTTACATCTTCGTTTACTGTAATTTCAGATATTGATTGAGTTTTGCAGAAATGGCTTCTGGGAACAAGAAGTTCGAATGTCTCAACTGTGCAAACGTAATTTTTAGCATACATATCTAAACAAGTGGATTTTGAAGTCTTTGGTCGCTTTAATACTGAAAGAATAAGCGCAGTTCGCTGCCCTAAAGGCTCACTTTATCAATTTAGGGAAAGGTGTGGTTTTTGCATTAAGTAAATATAATTTTTTGTTTTTCTTGCAACAGTTTTACAAAATAATTTTGGTACAGGGAAACTGCCAACTTGTTAAAACAGCAATTTTTAAACTGATTTTTAATTAAAATGGCTTTTTTATAAATATGGGTCTGCGGATCTTGTTAATTAATTATCTGCTAATTTTTGACGTTTAAAGTTTTCTTATTACTTTTGCATATCTTCAATTTTTGGCTTTTGATAAGTGACATTTAGGGCCTTTGTAACGGGAGTGACTGTTTTTTTTACATTTCATTATTTTTTGTCTTGAAGATGTTTCATTTTCAATTAAGTTTCTTAATTTAAAATCTTAATTCTGATATGTTAACTTGTCTAATCACTGATGCTTTTCATCTTATTCTTCTAAACTTTTTTCCACTTCAAATGGGTTTGCTCAGAAGCGCTAAATCGATTAGTATTGACTGTGCCAGGACAACAAAAAACAAAGCATTGAAAGACAGTGTTTCGCTGAAAAGCGAAAAAGGACAAGCAGTCTTTCTTACCTCTAGTGTAAAAGTGTATCATTGCTGTAGACCTGAGGCACTGGTAAATAATCAGTATTTGAAGGATCGGGAAAACATGAGAAGCGACTTCAGCGGGTGTTTCAAGATGGCGGATCAAGGAGAGTGCGACCAGTAAGGAAGGTCAGAGCGGTCAAGAGAGGGCAGGCGTTGAACACCGCAAGCAAATGAGGAAAACGGCTATGAGGGCAATGATTGTGAGAAAGCGTGATAATACATTAACGGTCCACACCTCATAGTCTGTGATTCTTAGTTTTCAATTTCTGTTGTTCACAGTTTTTAATATTATCGTTTACTGATTTTGTTATACGGTTGCATCCATCTGCCCATAGATTTTATTACTCAAGACTGAGGCAATAAACAAAATATTCTCGACAACATCTCTGGCAAGTTCTGCGTGGCAAAATTTGGAGGCTCCATAATTGAAAAAGCCATTACAGGCATCAAAGTAACAAGGAAGAAAAGACTTGTCTCAGTTTTTTTTTTTCTTATTGGGCCAAACAAAAGTTTAGAAGAATATATGCTTAACAAAATTGTTCTGATCGAAAAAGTTTTCATTGTTCAGAACAATAGAAGCCTAGTATCTGTTAAAATCTTTTATTCTAACGGTGTATTTTTCGCTGATTGTTTTGTTATTTGATGATATTTTAAGGGAGATGAGAGTGGATGCTTAAAAAACCCTTTTTGATCGGTGATTAACTTAACAAAAATTAAGAGAGATTTTGAAGTAAAAAACTATCTGTTGTTAAGGGGTAAAATTTTGCTAGCTATTTCGGTAACAGGACCGTAACTTTCAGTTAGATTGAAAATCTAATTTTGAAGGCAGCTTCATAGAAGTCAAATAAAAATTAGTAACATGCTCTTCTTAGCCGTATACATCGGGCGGGAAAAAATGCCAGAAAGTATTCTGCACTCGCTTGTAATGATTCAATTCCAGCAGCTCGTCAAATATAAATGTAAAAACAGCTTTGGCAGCTTCAAATAACGGCTGAGAAGACTTAAATTTAGCAACTAATGCGTAAATATTGTGATGCTGTTTAGTAAAAGTGGCAATTTTGAAGGTGACTCTAGAATAATCAATGCAACTTTTGCTTATTGAAGGTAAGAATAAACAAACGTCAAGGTAGGAACAGTTTTAAAAATTTTGGCGTTTTCATTACATATACAACAGCTATGCGGCGTTCTGGCTAAAAAAATCAAATTGTCCCAATGGTAAAACGGAAACAGTTTTGGAGAAAGAGAAGAAGACAACAGAACACACAACCCAATTTTCGCACGCCATTAAATTTATGGCAAGTTATAGACTGCTTAAACGACTTTTACGCCTACTGAACGTCGTCAAATAAGTAAACTTTTGCCCTTTTTTTACACTACCTTTCAAACAAATTTGTATTCTTCATCTTTTTTTGCATTGTCTTTGAATTAATAAAAATTTCTCTCAAAATATTTTTTATCTTGCTCAGTCCTCCCTACTTAGATACAATTAAGTAGCCTGGCTGTTGTACGCAGAGTGAGCATGAACAGAGTACCTGGTACATTCCCATGCGTGACAAAATTATTAGCCTACAAAAAAACCTCCCCTTTGAAGACACCAATGGTTTGATTCAATTTTGTATGGATTTTTGAAAACTGATAAAAAGAGGTACTTTCTAACTGGTAACTGAATTGTATGTTTGGTGTCTTCGTTGACCCTTGCCCCTTCTTTTCTAAGGCGGTCACAAAAGCTCTGTTTTCGACAAAACTTTTGACCAATGTCGCCTGCCACGAGAAACTCACGGGTTCACAGCAACTTATCAAACCAAACCTCAAACATTTACCAATTAAACATTTCACAATTATAATCCAGTTATACACTCATAAGTAGCATAAAATGAGAGAATATAATTGTATAATAAACGCGAGGAAAGAAGACTTACTGATGTCAAGAAACGACGAAGAACAAAAATGATTTAGCCTACTTTTTGCAGATGTTAATACAGGAGTCAGTTTAGTGGCAGTAATGGTGATAGTAACAGTAATAATAATAGTAACTGATAATAATAATGATAATTATAATAGTAATAATTGATAATAATAATAATAACAAAGAAAAAATAGTAATAATAATTAATGATAGTGAAATGATAAATATTTTAACAAAATTCTTTTTTGTACTTTCTACTCAAACCTATGCAACTTCTTTACTTATCCAATGAGTTTTTACTTGCAGTGTCAGCGTCTTTCTTTACGTACCAGCAATATGCAACGCAATTTTGCTTTTTTTTTTCAACCTTCTACAATATCACAGACAAAACATCAACGACAACAACAACAACAACAACAAATGTGGTGCTTTCTTTTATCTTTTTTGAATTACCTAGCATCCCGTTAAATCAATGGGAAGAAAATAATTGAAGGATGTGGTAAAAAATTTTCTACTCCTACTGCAATGGTACTATCTGTGCAGGTCGGCTTGGCTGGGAAAGAAGGCAGCTCAGCAGATGAAAGGAGAAAATGACAAAAAAGAGAATAAGGAGGATTAGAAAGTAGAATAAGAGGTCTTCTGTTCGTTAGCTAGATGAAACTGGCACCCGTGTATCGTAAAGTGTTGGTGCCTAAACAGGGGAGGTTTTGTTTCGTTAATCTGTCAGTTAAATTCACCAAAGGAAGGGGGAGAAAGTGACATTTGATTTGGCTGGAGAAGCTTCAAGAAATTTACTTTCTTCTGAGAAAAAATTGAAATAAAGTAAAAATTAACTTGAAAAACCTAAGGAAGAAATGGGAAAAAAATGAAAAAAATTAAAAAGTTTTATCATTTTATTATGTCAAAATAAAATTTTTACGAAGTACTACATAACAATTTGTTCCCCATCTTCTTCATTCTATTTTATTTTATTCATCTAATTTATTTATTTTTTGCAATATTCGCTATAAAGATTTGTCATTTTACATACTCCGCTTATAAAACTCATTTTATTTTTCTAAAAAGAGCAAAATTTTTGCATTAAAACACAATTCTACGCTTACTCGTAACCATGCAATGAACCAGCTAAATTTAACCATTACTTTAAATAAACTTAGTTTCTGCGTTCAAACTATTTGACAAGAAAGTCAAAGTCTCTATAACATCATGTGATAAAAGCTTCCCCTTGTCAAATACAAAGGAATAATCTTTCGGCTGATTAATAGAAACATTTAAAGAGTTGAACCAAAAAAAAATTGTTAAATACCAAACTAAACTATTTAAGATTGCCGCCTAACGTTTTAACATTAGTTTTGTTTCCTTACCTGAATGAATATTGTAACGGTGCCGATAAAACAGGCCAACGAAAAGATGATCAAAAATAATCGATCAAATACTGTTGCTACGTACTTCCAATCTTCGTCCACCTAAAGTAAGGATAAAACTTAATTTATTAGTGATTTTGAGGTTGTCAACACTACTTTTGCTGCAAGAAGCTAAATATAGTAAATTCAGAAAATGAAAGCGGAAAACAGCTTTGCAGCTCAATGTTTTCCAAAAATTTCTTTGATTTCTCAATAGCATACTTTATCATCGTTATCCTTTCGTTTCAGAAGTTCAGCAATAAAGCAGATGTTTTCAAAAGCCTTAATGACAACTGGCGATGAATACAATTTTTGTATTCGTTCATCACCATACTCGTTCTCAGACGCTTTGTTCGCATCTCGACTAACACGATGGTCATGATAGTTCAGCGCCACTTTCTCGTTCCCAACTAAATATTAAGTAGTTCAACTAATGTTTGAAACATTCTAAAAAATAACTATTTTTTGAAGAGGTAATTGAAGCTGTGTAAAATTTTTTTTAAACTGAACTAACAATGTTTACAAAAAATAAAATCCACTACTTTGACTCTTTGAACTTTACGTGTCAAGTCATTTTCCTCAAAAACTTTCAAAACAACTTACAATTGTCACTTCTTTGTTGATTACTCTTATAAACATTAGTTTTTTCATCAGTAGTCGGCCTAGTCATAAACAAAATTTTTGGTAACCGTTGAAGAAATAGCCACTTAATCCACCGTGGCATACGATGTGTAGTAGGCTTTCGAAAATGCAAGTTTAGTGCTGAAAGTCACTGAAACCAGTCCAAACTGTTACTACAAGATAACCAAAAAGTCCTTATATGAAAAAAAAGTATAAAAATTGTATTTTTAACTCGTCCTTGCGCATTTTTAATGCAAATCAAGCGTAATAAAGCAAAATGGTATGAAACGGTTACATATTACAGTGACTCCAATGCTAATTGATACCATAAACATGGTAAACAATAAATATTTTCCAATTAAAGGAAGGTTGTCTCCAGTTGCTGGAATGATTTCAATCTGAAACAGGTAACAGCAATAATCGTTGCATCCAATTCGATGAAAACCACAGTGTTTAAAAAGCTTCACCACGTGAATTTTTTTAAAATAGTAATAACAGTAGAAGATAAATCATGTCAAAACCAGCTCCTTTTTTAGCAAATTTTTTGAAGATATTAAAGCTTTAAGTGAGCATCATTGTAGGTCATATTTATACAGATTTCTAACTGTTCTACGAAGTTGCTCATTAACAAAGAGATAGTGTTTCAACAATAATAAACAATTCACCAAAAGTAAGTAGTAAACGGTTAATGCGACAAGAATTGAGATACACAGTGAAACCTTCTCGCCGCTGTCTGACGGTAAATAAAAAACAACAATTGTCAAGAATGATATTCCAACGCAAGGGAACACCAAATTAACCGTGTAAAATAAAGGCTTGCGACGAAGCTTCAGGAAATACTGAAAAAATTGAACAAGTCCTGACGATTAAACAGTAAGAAGTAAAATGAGAAAAAAGCGATTGGAGCAACTGTGTAACTGTTACATAACAATGCGTGATGTAAATACGTCGCTCGAAAACAGAATTAGTTAGTTGCCTGGATGTCGATATATGCTTCGGTGTCTGGACAACAACTTGGATAGTTTTTTGTCCTTCGTTTTGCAACTCGTGACATAATATCCCACTCGACAGACGGATAGTAGTCAGAAAGATCTAAAAATTGAAAAAACCTCATACCCCCAAAATGAAAATCATTTTAAAAGAGCACTCAACCTCACAAAGCCAGTCAACAATAATGATAGCTCAGAAGTGAACTTTTCAGAATGACCAAGAAAATGAGACCACAAAATAAATTTTATAATAGTCAACAAGAGAGCGCTCTCGTACCGATCGCTAGCAAAATCCACATTTTATTAAACATTGCGAACAACCTCACAGGAAATGAAATACGCACAAAGTTTGAGTTTTAAATACTCAAAAGTGTGAAGGCAATTAAGTTCGTCAAGTCTGATCAAAATAATGGATCAAAGGTAGTCAAATTAAGGGCTATAAAAAAATGAAACGGCCTTTAGAGAGTTATTAAGAGAAATTTCAGCTAAAGCAATTGAAAGATTTGAGTTTTCTTTCATTATAAAAAGTCCGTGTTTCAGGACGGTGTTTCTAAAGTCATTTATCATACTCAGATTTGGCAGTTTCAAGCTTTACTTTCTAATCGCTCCTCACTTCTCATCTCAAATTTAGCTACTCTAGTTTTATTTCTTTTGCTGCTGACTACTTTTGTTTTTACTCTAGTTCACTTCCCCTTCCACTGACCTTCAAATTATAACATTTATTACTGTTTTCGATTAACCATTTTAGCTTGCGTTACTCAAGAAAATATACAAAATTGGTGTATCGTTTCTCTTGCGCAAGATCAAAAAAAAGGATTAGGGAACCAGCGAGAACGACGGTAGACTAGTGATAATAAGGCAGGACAGTAAGTAGTCGGTTCCTGAGGATAAAAGCCACAAGGTGGAAGAAGCAGGACATCGTAGGCAGCTTATCGTAAAGAACTGTCTCGAATAAACGACAATAACTCTGTAGTTCACCACTCACCAATCCCTTCTTCTGCTATTGTAACATTATCCTCAATACCCTTCTCGTTAATTTCAGTTTTATTGTAGGATTTGTCGCTGTCAAACAGTTCCAAAACAACCAGGTTACCCGAATATGACCAAGGTCCAAACTGAAACCACAATATTCGAAAACTCATTAACTATTTTAATACCCATTATACAGCAGTTTCATGCAGCCAGACATGACAAACTCATTTTAATTAAAACCTTCTTGTACTTTAAACTTCAACTGTTACCTTTAGTTCACATTTTTGCTCGTCGAATGGAAACCTAAAAATATGTGTTGATAATTTTCATTTTTTAATGGCAGACCTATGCAAACCTCCATGAGGAAAAAAAAATTTATTGACTAGACATGAATTTTCATAAATTGTATACCAACCACTGAACGTCGATCGGGCAATTGCTTTTGAATATCGCAGGAGGTTCCCATGTTATTTCTCCAGTATACCGAATTGTCGCTTTCGTGCTAATAGTAATGTTATAAGCACTATCTGCACTAAACACATGAAGAAAGCTTAGTCACCTGTTCAAAGTAAAGGTCGTAGTAAGAAGGACATTTAAATAAAATGTTTGGCAAAAAAAAATAAACAAGAAAAGGATGAAACAGATCTCACCATTTTGATAGCCAAATCTGTACCTGTTTCTCAGGTTTAAATTTAAGAAACAAAAGGCATAACTATCAGCTTATAAGCTTTTAAAACACTGGTTGAAGATCATAGCGTGGCGAAACAAACTTGTAAGTGCTAAGTAAAAACTGACTTATTGTACAAAACGATGTCCGGGACCCATATCATTTCATATGGTATGTACAACACATTAACGTCACCGTAGCGGTTAGGATCCCACGACAGACGACTATCAGTCCAAACTTGTTTAAGCCAAACACTACATGTCATTATTTGATCAATTTCATGCTGAAAGTAAGAACTTCCACAAGTTCGCTGAAATCCACGATCTACCTTATCCCTTCCATAAACCTGAACTTCCAGGAACTGATAAACAAGAACTAATGATGATCGCATACCAGATCTATAATTTGTGAAAGACGGAGCTTTAACTTGATGACCACTGGTTCTTGCGGCGACTTGGCAGGCCTTCGAAGGCGGTTGTAGCTCATCATTAAATCATCGTACAGTCGCTTAGCATCCTCATTGGCAAGTGTTTTCGTTGGCGATTGCGAAAATATCGTTACCACCAAGAACGAAAGTGATGCCAAAAGCATTTTTGTTTTGAAGAAACCTTATTGGTTTGGGCTTCAGATTTACCTTACATTGCATAATCAACCAAAACAACAGCGTATTTTGATAAATCAGCACTGGTCTTTGTATAGTACCTTATCTGCTTTCTTATGTAGCTAAAATGACAGAAGAATAATATGTTGCTCCAGAAAAGTAAAGGTGAACGCTTCCAAGCCACTGTTGCAGTGTGCTAAATCAACGGCGAAGTGCAATTTTAGCACTATGTAGCAAAAAAAAAAA